AACTTTTTGACATCTTTATCATCTCTTTTTACCCTCATTTTGTTCTGTGTCCTTTCGTCCCTGTGTTCAAAATAAAGTCATCTTTATCCATCTTAACTCGTCCAATAACATACTTCATCAGCATAATCATGTCCCCCCTTTTCCTTTTTTCTTCCAAAGTGGTAAGTCCTATTTTCTGTAGTCGATCTTTTAGTAATATATCTTTAGGGTAGGTGACATCTTGAGCCTTCTCTCTGAACTCTTTCCAGTTTGTCTATATCTTTTTTAAGTGTGGACTCCATACCCCTGCACCGTACTCTAGACCAGTGTTGTCCAAACTGGGGTCCGCAACATAGATCATAAGGGTACATGAACAAACAAGGAACACACGCCTCACATCTCACATTAAGTTGTGTAAGAATTTTCAAGCATTTTGTTATTAAGTCATCTTTTTTAATCGTGTATTAAATTCGGATTTATTGACCAACACTCCTGCAATGCAGTCTTTTCATAATTAGTATATCATTTGCATTATTCTAAATAACAGTTTGTTTGGCTATGGTGGACGGGTGGGGGAGGGGGGTACGTAACAGTACAAGAAGGTATTAAAGGGTATAATAGGCGAAAATGTTTGTACAACACTGCTCTAGACTATAGTTTTATGATGGTTGTAGGGATCTTTAACATATTCGTCCACATATATGAGTGTTGACAACCAACCCTAGCATTTTAAGCACCTTTTCATTTATATAATCATTTGAGCTTAAGTTCTTGTTTAAGATTGTTCCAAAGGGACGATTTTTACTCTCTCCGAACCTGACTACATGTTATTCATTGGCGTTGAATTCCATTTTCCAATTACATCTCCACATGAATAAGTTGTCGATGTCACTTTGGACGTCGAATTTATTGTCCTTTCTTGTATTATCGCATCGTCATATTCAAATACCCACCTTGGCTTATGTTTGGCCCTAAATCATTGAAATAGTAAACATAATCGGCACCAACACCGATCCTTGAGGTACTCCGCTAGTTACACGTCACCAAGTAGAGTGTTTCTCTCGAATGACTGTACTCTTTTTTATTTTATTTATTTATTTTATTTTCCATTTTTTCATATTTTTATTTATTCATTTATTTTCTTTTACTGTGGGTAGTCTTTCATCCATTCAAGGATTTTGACTTTCACTCCACCTGGGTGTTATAGTTTCCATAATAGTCTTCTATGAAACGCCCCATCAAATACCTTTTTAAAGTCTAAGTGAACGCAATCCACCCAACCGCCTCTTTCTTGAAATATTTCAGGAACTCATAAAGCAAAGGAGATATGTGAGTGCGTACATTTATATGTGTGTGTGTGTGAGTTTGTGTGTATGTATACACACATACATACGTATATATATATAATATATATATATATATATATATATATATATATATATATATATATATATATATATATATGTATGTATATACGAGTATATATATATATATATATATATATATATATATATATATATATATATATATATATGTATATATATATGTATACATGTACATATCTGCACACACACACACACACACACACACACACACACACACACACACACACACACAGCACACACACACATATATATATATATATATATATATATATATATATATATATATATATATGCACATATTCATAAATATGTATAAATACATACGCACCAACATAAATGTGGGTATGTGTATGTGTGTGTGTGCCACGGAAAGTGAAAGAAAAGACAGAGAAACAGAAAAAGAAGAGAGAGAGAGAGAGAGAGAGAGAAGAGAGAGAGAGAAGATGAAGGGCAAATATTTCTTTCTACTGATTCCTAAAGTTTCATATAATTTTACATGCAATTCACTTTACTAAACTGATTTAACCTAAATCTGCAACAGTAAGAATATCACTAATTTACACTGTAATTACTGTTTGAAATTATTTTATAAATTTAAGCTATACAAACACACAAGACTTATTTAAGCAATCACGTCGCTGCCTAGAGAAGAGAGAGAGAGAGGAGAGAGAGAGAGAGAGAGAGAGAGAGAGAGAGAGAGAGAGAGAGAGAGAGAGAGAGAGAGAGAGAGAGAAGAGAGAGAGAGAGAGAGAGAGAGAGAGAGAGACAGACAGACAGATAGCGTATGTGTGTATGAAAGAGAGAGCGGAGGTAGAGAGAGAGAGAGAGAGAGGACAGACAGACAGACAGACAGACAACAGATAGTGTATGTTGTGTATGAAAGAGAGAGGGAGGGAGAGAGACAGACAGACAGACAGACAGACAGATAGCGTATGTGTGTATGAAAGAGAGAGAGGGCGGGAGAGAAAGAGAGAGAGAGAGAGAGAAATAAAAACAGGAGAGAGAGAGAGACAGAGAGGGGGATGGAGGGAGAAGGAGATAGATGGATAGATAGAGAAGAGAGAGAGATAAATATACAGATAGAGAGATCGATAGATAGAGAGAGAAATAAATATACAGATAGAGAGATCGATAGATAGATAAAGAGAGAGAGAGAGAGACAGACAGACAGAAAGACAGCCAGGCAGAGACAGAGACAGGCAGAAAGGCAGACAGACCGAGAAAGAGAAAGAGTCCTACTAAAGAAATACGAAAGGAAAAAAGGAAGAATTAAAAAAAAATACAAAGACAAATAGACAGAAAGACACAAAAAGACACAAAAAGACACATAAAAAATAATAACCCTCACCTCACCTCCACCTGTACAAAAAAATCGCCTTAAACCCACCGTTCGCCTCCCAAGGACTCTAATCTCCCCATCCCAAATCTCCTTTCCTTCTCCTTCTCTTCTCTCTCACTCCGTCGACCGAAGCGACAAGTAATCAGGAAATAATCGTCTGAGAGGAGAGAGAGAGAGACTCGACGAGAGAGAGAAAAATTAAGTAGAGTCGCCAATAAGTGGAATTAGAAAGGGGGGGGGAAAAGTCGGACTTGTTGTCTAGACATCACCGATCCGTGACACTTGACACTCTGGTCGGCACCGCAGCCTTGTTAGTCCCTCCCGGCCCCCTCCTCCCCCTTCCTTCATCTCCTCCCTTCCTCCCTCCTTCCCTCCTCCCTCCGTCCCCTCTTTCTCCCTCCTCTCTCCCTTCCTTCGTCTTCTCCCTTCCTCTCTCCTTTTTCTCCCTCCCTCCTCCCTCCGTCCCCTCTTTCCTCCCTCCTCTCTCCCTTCCTTCATCTCCTCCCTTCCTCTCTCCTTCCCTCCCTCTTGTCCTCTCTCTTTCTCCTTTCCCTCTCCCTTCCTTCCTTCCTTCATCTCCTCCCTCCCTCCTTCCCTCCCTCCGTCCCCTCTTTCTCCCTCCTCCCTCCCCTCCTTCATTCTCCTCCCCCCTCCCTCCGTCCTCTATCTTTCCCGTTCCCTCCTTCCCCTCTCCCTCCCTCTTTCTCCTCTCTCTCCCTCCTCTTCTTCCATTTGCTTCCCTTCACCCTCCCTTCCCTCCATTGCTTTTCTCCCTCCTCCTTCCCCTCTCCATCCCCCCTCCCTCTCTCCCTTCCATCACTTCTTCCCTACCTCCCATCA